AGCGGGCACGTCCTGCTCAATGGACACGCTAGCGGCGCCCCGCTCAGCCAGCCAGCTGGCCAGCCAATCGCGCACGCCATCGCGCTCGTCGATGGCCAGCCCGCCTGCCGGGCAGCCCGCCGCGCGGCCGGGGTTCGCCCGCAGGTCGCAGCTGCAAACCGCGCCGCCGCGCCTCCGCCGCAAGCACGCAGGGCTGGCTCCCTCGGGCAGCGGCAAGCAAAGCCAGAGGGCGAGCGCAGGCCGCAGGTGCTCGTCGGCGAGGAGGTGGCCCCGCCGAGCCAGGAGCAGGAGGAAAGCGCTCGCGCCTCTGCCGCCCGCGGAGCGGAGGCCGGCGGCCTGGCTCGCGGGCAGGGGGGCCAGCAGGCGAGCGCGCCGCTGCTCCTGCGCCGGCTGCGCCAGGCGCTTCTGCGCCTTCTCCAGGCGCTCCGCTGCGGCGCAGACCCAGCTAGTAGCGCTCGCGCCAGCCAGCCGCCCCGCCTGCTCAGCCGCCGCCCACGTCCGAGGGCAAGCGGCAGCGAAGGCCTCGAGGCTAGGCCTGCCCAGCTCACGGCGCACATCTGCCATGCACGCCTGCCAGGAGCCCACGCGCGCAGGCAGACGCCGTTGCTCCAAGCTGTGCCAGCCAAGGCCGCCGTCTCGCGCGCGGTCGCGGCGAACGGCTGCCCCAGCGCGCCCTCCGCGCGTCGCAAGAACAGGTCGTCGGAGGCGCGGGGCCAGGCCTCGTCGAGCAGGCGCGCGGTGCGTGCGCGGTGGAGGGCGGCTCCGTTGACAAACGTGCCCAGGACCACGAGCTCGTCCTGGAGCCGGAGGCCGTGCTCGCGCAGGTGCCCCAATCTCGCCAAGAATCCGCGCAAGTGGCGGGTCGCCGACTCGGGCGCGGCCGCCGCGCCGAGGCTCGTTCCCGCGGGGTCCTGGCCGAGGTCGCCCGCCGCCGCCCCGCCGCAGACGAACGGGAGGCGGCTGCCCACGCTCGCGAGGTCGGGCACCGCGGCGGCCGCGAGGCTCGGCGGGAACGGCAGCCCGCGCGGGTTCCACACCTCGGTCTTGTCGGAGTTCAAGCAGAGGCCGCGCGCTACCAGGAGGGCCGGGGCGCCGGCGAGGGCCGCAGCGAGCGCCGCCGCCGTGCCGACGACGAACACGTTGTCGAGGTAGGCCACTACCCAGGCGTTCGGGTCGCGCCAGAGGGCGGTCGCCGGCAGCTCCTCGTAGAGCCTCGCCGTGGCTGTCTCGTGAAAGGCCGACGACAGGGGGCAGCCCTGGTCAAGGCCGCGCTTCGCCGTCACCTCAGCTGTAGTTCCGGGCGCCGCGCGCGGTGCCCCCGCCGCACCATCACGCCAAGGCGAGGCGCGCGAGGAGCGGAAGGCGCTGGGCGACTTCCCGGAGCACGACGTCCCGGTCGAGCTCGTTGAAGGCGTTCGCCACATCGAGTGACAGCATTGCACTGTTTTGGGCCTTGTGCATGACCTCCACGCCGTTGCGCCGACCGACCCCGTACTGGCACGACCCACCGCCTGGGCGATGAGCTCCCTGTGTTTGGTCGTTGCTGTTTTCGCCGCCACGCGGCGGAATGTCTCTCCGCAGCCGAGGGGTCGCACCCCGCCGCATGGTTTCTGGAGCGGGATCAGACGGCCACCCAGCAGCGATTTCGAGGCGGCCGGCGGCGCCTCGCCACGCAGGATGACGGCGCGAGCACCTGCACCAGCTTACTCCTTCCCGTCTGCGCCCCCATGGAGCATTGCCCAGCGTGGGCCCTCGCGAGGCCCGCTCGGAGTTCCGCGGGAACTTGCTCACATGCCCGGCGGCCTCCTCTGCAGCGTCGGCCTCCCACGCTTCTGGGGGGCGCCGTGGTGGCGGCGGCAGTCGCGGGGCTCCGGCCCCTGGGAAAAGGCTGGCCAGGCGGGCGCGCGCCTCCGCCCCAACGGCGAGCTTCCCTGGGCCGCTCGCGGCCGCAGCGGCCCGGGACACCTCACCAAGCATGATGAATTCGTGCACCCGCTCGGTCTGGGTCGCTGCGTCTGGCAGCCGCCGGCTGCCGCAAGCGCCATTGTCGCCAGAGCGCGCTGTGGCTACCCAAAGGCCCGCCCAGTCCCCCGCCCATGCCTGCCGGATCCTGGCGCCGATCACCCCCGGGGCCGGAGGCCAGTCCGCACGCCAGTCGTCGCCGGCAGGGGGGATGGCGAAGAGCACGCGAGGCAGGAGCAGCAAGCACGCCCAGGCAGCCTGTCGGGCCGGTTCTGCGGCCACCGCCCTCAGCGCCGCGCCCAGCAGCTCGCCGACGGCCACTGCAAGACTGTCTGGGACAGCCGTCCAAGTGGGCACAGGCTCGCGGAAGGCGCCTTGGAGCTCGAACGTATCCCACCACGCCAGGCCCCGAAGGTTGCCAGCTTCGGCGGCGGCCACGTGCCGGGGTTTGGGGTCCCCCGAGGGTGCGTCAGTTGAGCACGGCTGCGCCGCCGCGCCGTCCACCGTGCACGCGGGGACCTCCGAGCGAGCTTCCTCAGGCAACGCGGCCAGACCGTCTACTGTGCCTGGTGGGATGCCTCCTGGGATGCAGGCTGGTTGCCGAAGTATCGGTCTGAGTTCGCGCGGCTCGCCAGCCGCACCTCCTTGTGACTGAAACCTTGACAACAAACGTAACACATAGCGACGTGCTTTCGGACGGGCTGCGGCGTCGCCGTCCACGCGGCCACCCTGGGCTGGCGCGCGGCGCGCGGCGCGCGGGCGGCAGCGGCAGGAGGCGGCGCAGCGGCGGGGCCTGCGGCGCTCCCCGAAGCGGCAGCGGCGCCGAGGGCGCCGCCAAGATGGGCTGCTCCGAAGGCGCGGCTCCGGCCGCTCCTTGCAAGTTCTCCACGTCCCTGGCGAGGTCCGTCATCACCTCGTCCTTCCCCCCTCCCGACGTCGCCCATCCCGTCGTCGTCGTCTTCCTCCTTCAGGTCGCTCATGGACCCGTGGTCGCAAGCCAACCAGCCCACGCTCACGTCGCTCTCCATCCCCAGTGGGGCGGCCGCCGCCGGCTGCGCAGCTGCCCAAGCAGAAGCTCCGCCTCCTGCTTCTCCTCCTCATCCTCCTCCTCCTCCTCCTCCTCCTCCTCCTCCTCCAACTGTTCCTCCTCC